TATTATTTTTTTATACATGTTTGTAGCTAGCTTTTTCCTCAGAGGAGCTACCTTGTGCCTTTATGAATTAACTAGCTTTCTACCTGTGGCATCGCCCACATAGGTTTTGGTTTTGCCGTAAAAAATGTGTCGTGTCGTATGTCATACTGAGATTAAAATAAAATCGTTTTAAATGAATGTGGATCAAACGACTTACTTATTTTAGGTTCACCACACTAGAGAAAAAATGTTTGAATAACCTTTGTCAGTTTCTTTTTTAAGAGCATGGGTAAAAAAAGAAAAATAAATGTCAGTTAAGTGAGAGACAATTTCCTGCAAATGAATAAACAAAGTAGAAAATTAGTACTGCCCTGACCGTCAAGCCGAATGGCAACGATTTCAACTGCAACGTTAATCATCGACACAAAGAGATATATTTGAAGTAATTTCGTGAGAGCTGTGCTATCCACTTGTAACAGATTTGGACTATCGGTCACCGCAGGAATACAACTGTAAGTTGAATAAATTCAGTAGAACACGGATAGTAAACAAACAAGTCAGAGTCGATAAACACCGCTTGAGCCGGCCGCGTCGGCCCAGTGCGGCACGTCGAGGCAGTACCGCCAGGGCTGTATCACGATCTATTATACACAACTGTTCAATATCTTTCCACCATGACTCAATGTGAAGGAACCAACACCATCACATCATTATCCTACTCCAGTGCACTATCACAATGACCTACTATTATTATCACGATTACATAGTAGCAGTCGGATCAGTTGCACGTCCCAGAAACGTACTGTTTGCATCGTGGATATCAAACAATAGAATTTGCATCTACCTCAGCAGCTCCGAAGTAGTTGATCAAATCATATTAAATCATAAAACTATTAAAATCAATGACCATGATATTGAAATTAGACGTCTGGTCTCTCCTGCCCAAAGGTTGGTAATATCTAATATATGTCCCTCTATCTCCAATAATGCCATCGAAGATAGACTGCAGAACATGGGATGGGAATTAGTTTCTCGGATGACCTACCTTAGGGTGGGTATGCCCGAATCAGAGAACAATCACGTACTGAGTTCCCGACGACAAGTTTTCATTTCCAGCCTGCTGAAGAATTCATTAATTCCCAGCTACCCAAAACAAAACTACGCCTAGTTAAGGTAGCTGATCTAATAGATAATGACTACAAATCGAAAGATACAACCTCGACAATTAGAAATTATTCTGATGATGTATCAAGCATTATAGACTTTCTTACAGAGCTCTATGGACGGCTCAAGGACAGAAAAGTTAAAACAAGAATCACCAAGATTAAGAAGAAAATTTCGAAAAGACTGGAAACTGATTCGGCTGAGGATAGTGACATGTCACGATCCTCTTTCCTACGTATTAAATCGTCCTTTATTTTTCCCCCACCATTTCTATGTTCCTCCTTCAATGGAATTGCAACGCTTACTACACATATCTAGAAATGCTCAACCTTATTATGAAACACGGAAACCCCTTAGTGACATGTTTCCAAGAAACACATATCAAAGAAAACAAACAAACATTTCCACCTAAAAACTACCAGGGCTACTTCAAGAACAGACCTAATCAACAAGTAGCATCCGGTAGAGTGGCCATCTTCACAAAAAGCAATATACTATCAGAAGAGATTCAACTAAACACAAATATCGAAGCCGTAGCTGTAAAAATCAAGCATCATACTACAATACATGTCTGCAACAAATACGTCCCACATCCAGGAGACATTAATTTTGATGACATTGAAAATGTGATACGACAGGTTCCTACACCACGAATCATAGTTGGCGACTTCAATAGCCACAACATTATCTGGGGTTCAGATTATTCCAACAACCACGGTAGGAAAATAGAACAGATCATGAATAATAATAATTTAACGCTATTAAATAATGGAAACAGCACCAGATTCAATGCTTACAATGGGCATTTTTTCATCTATAGATTTGTCATTTTGCGACTCAACATTGGCCATCTTTCTCTCCTGGGATACTCTCGCTGACTTATATGACAGTGATCACTATCCAATATGCATTCATCATAATAATGATAGTCCTTCCTCTCCACCACCCCAGTAAAAATGGAAGTTTGACCAAGCAAATTGGGATGAATATCAATATCTAATCTGCCAATCGGTTTCTACTGTCGAATTAGAGACTGACGTCGAAGTTCCTCTAAATCAAATCGTGCATATTATCAAGGAAGCTGCTGCTACTACAGCCCTGCAGAAATATGCACATCGTTCCATGGTGGAATGATCGCATCTCTAAAGCCTTAAAAGACAGCAACCATTCGTTTAATATACTTAAAAAGCACAATACATGGGAGAATTTAACAACATTAAAAAAACATAGAGCAAAATTACGATTCCTGATAAAGAAAAGCAAGAAAGAGACATGGCATAATTATATTTCTACTATAAATACCTCAACTGCTATGTCGCAGATATGGAGCAAAGTGAGAAAGATAAGCGGGTCACGAGGATTCAAAGAAATCGACACCATTAGTTACAAGAGCAAAACAACGTCAAACAAATATGAGATTCCAGAAGTATTTGACAACGTATAACAAGCATCTTTAAGTGATGAAAGCTTCAGCACTGAATTCCTCCAATATAAACAACAAGCAGAATCTACAGGTACAATATTACCGGATATCGACGGCCCACTGAATGACTTCATATCAAGAGAAGAACTGGAAGAGGCACTTACAACAACGAAAGACACGTCCCCAGGTCCTGATGATATACCATCCATATCTATTTATAAAAAATCTCCGGAACGAAGCAAAGCTTCTACCTATTACTATATACAGGGTGTCCGCAAAGTTGGGGTTTTCCTTTTCAGAAACAACTACCCTTGAAAAATAAAAGAAAAAGTACTCACTCTCCAGTTGACGAGAAGGGCTAAGTACGTCTCTGCCCGAAATCATACCGCTCCAACAGAAAATGAAATCAGCTGATACGCTACCGAGCAGACGCAGAAACCAAATTGATTGTCTTACACTTAATGGCATATCTTCTAACAAGGAAGGCAAAATCTAGGTATTGCATCCCGTCCAATCGATTTGGGAGAATAAATGGTCCAATGAGCCGTTCATCATGCCATGCCCAAACATTCACCGAAAATGTTTGTTGAAAATGTGCCCGACGGACAGCGTGCGGATTTTCTACTGACCAAACATGAGTGTTGCGAAAGTTATTCACCCCATTGCGCGTGAACGTAGATTCGTCTGTCACCAATATGCAGTTCAAAAAGTCCGGATTATTGTCATGTTTATGTAACAACCACTCACAAAACCGCACTCTTGCTGTAAAATCGTCAGGTTAAAGGGCTTGTACACGTTGGACGTGAAACGGATACAGCCCCTCTTCACGCAGCGTTTGCCACACTTTAGTTTTTGATACTTGCACTTCTCTAGCCATGTCTCTAGTGCTTGTTGAGGGATTCTCGTCTACGCGATTACCTCTACACGCGTGACCGTAACCGTCGGTTGAAGGTTGCATACTGACCCCGACCCAGTTCTGTCGTCGGGTTGAGCCAGTGACCTTGTACCACTCGGTGATATCGCGGCTACGGGACGGTATTCAGATATTTTTGATGTTGCAGAGCCCTTTATCTCGGTTCCCTTAAGACACTGGTGTATATGGTACTAAGAAAAATTGCTTATGTGTTCAAGATCTACACGTCGTGTAAAGGAAAACCCCAACTTTGCGGACACCCTGTATAATCATATTTTGAAATCCCGTCAATTTCCAAATTTATGGAAGGAAGCTATCGTCATTCCGATCCTAAAACCACACAAAAAATAAGATGATCCTACATCCTACCGACCCATCTCCCTCACCTGTTGCAGGTGTAAGCTACTAGAGAACATTCTGAACAAGCGTTTGGTATGGTTCATAGACCAGAATAGATTCATTAGTAATCATCAAAGTGGATTCCGTAATGACAGGTCAACGGTAGACAACATAATCGTACTTGAATCAGCCATCAGCGAAGCCTTCTGAATGATCAAAATGTAATTGCAGTATTTTTCGACATTTACAAAGCTTATGACACTACTTGGAAGCATCTGATTCTCAAAACCATGGCAGAGATGGGGATCGGAGGTGATATACTAGCTTTTACTTCAAACTTCTTACACAGCAGGACAATTAGAGTGAGAGCTAACGGATACACATCTCCTGCCAAAAATTTAGAAAACGGAACCCCTCAAAGATCAGTATTAAGCGTCACTCTATTCTTAATTGCTTTAAACGGACTTAACAAATTGTTTAAACAGCCTGTAAAATATTTAATGTACGCTGACGATTTGATTATATACCTATAAACAAACCATATGTTCACAGGCCAGAAGATAATAGGAAATACACTGGGAGAAATGGAACGTTGGGCTGATAGGACGGGATTTCAATTCGCCAATGACAAAACCAACTATATGGTATTCAGCAAAGCAAAACGAAATACGACCAATATCACATTGCACCTGAATAACAGACCCTTAACAAAAGTGGACAACATCAAATTCTTAGGCTTAGTACTTGACTCAAAATTGAAATGGGACCCCCACATAAAACACATAATCACCTCTTGCCAAAACGGACTAAATCTAATAAAAACCTTAGCAAATAAAAAATGGGGTAACGATACTATTTCGATACTAAGAATCTACAATGCAGTTATTAAAAGCAGAATCGATTTTGGCTGTATCTGTTACAGCAATGCAAGCAAGAGTTTACTGAATAAACTCGAAGTCCTGCAAAACGCAACAATCAGGACAGCACTTGGACTGCTACGAACCAGCCTTGTAGAGAGCATACAGGTACTAGCCAAAGAGTTACCACTAAGCTTACGTACACAATACCTGTCTCTATGCTATGCTGCCAAAATTTCAAGTTTTCCAGACAATCCTGCCTACAACTTAATATTTAATAATAATCGACCATCTTCACGCCAAAACGTCAACTACACGTCATTCTCTGAGAGAACAACCTCAACTTCGATTTCCTTAATGAAACCCTTCGATGCCGTTTAGACTTTCCTCCTTGGACTGCACCACAAACAATTATTGATACCTCTTTGAGTGTATATCCGAAACTAGAGACAAATCACCAGCTCATTCAATGCGGATATAAAGAAATTATCGAAAGAAACCACAACGCCGAAATGGTCTTTGCCGATGCTTCAAAATCATCCGGGAGAATTGGCTGTGCCGCAGTCAGCAGATATACAGGGTGACAGGAAATTAGTGGCGGAGCCGGTAAGGGGTGATAGTATAGGGTAATTAGAGCCGATATTACTATGAGACCTACTATCCCACAGTAACCCATTCCAAGATATTCGTACTTGAAGAATTTTACCAAAAAGTTCTACTTAAAATTTTAAAGTAGGTATACATCTTAAAAAATGGCTTTTCGGCCAATTTTTTTTTTGGTTTTACAACAAAGATATTCTGAATACGGAATACTAATAGTTTAATCCTGGTAATTGTCGTAATTTTCTGCGATAATTGCTAAATAAAAACTAAAATGAAAAAAAAAAAAAACACGGTGACGGCTTCTAAAACGTGGATTTACTCAAAAAAGTAACCTATAATTGTTACGTACAAAATAATTAAAAAACATCTACGTTTCGTTGCCTGTCGAATACGGTATTAAAATCTAAAATCGGTTCAGGGACCATCAAGATAGACGAATAATAAAAATGAAAGAAAAAAGCTGAATGCTGAAAAATCAATTTATTACAAAAAACATTCTTATTCATAATGCGTTTTCAAAATGCCCACCCCTATTTCTAATACAAATTCGTGCTCTTCTCAGGACACCCGTTTTCACAACCCTTGAATCTCGAAGCTCCGTTTGTATTTCCTGCGCTGCGTGAATGATTCTGTTGCGCAGGCCTTCAATATTAGGTACAGGTACATCAGTACCATACACGATACTTTTCATTCGACCCCACACGTCCATGGGTGTGATGTCGGGACTACGTGCCGGCCATGGTATTGGACCACCTCTACCTATCCAGCGGTTGGGGAAGTGTTCGTCAAGCCAATTTCTCACAGCTAGCCTGAAATGCGCTGGACAGCCATCATGCATGAAGGTCATGTGTTGTCTTGTTTGTAGCGGCACGTCTTCCAACAATTCATGCAAAACATTCCTGAGAAAATCTTCATATGCTTCCCCATTAAGGTTTTGAGGCAGGAAATGAGGTCCAATCAAACGGTTATTGATTATTCCCATCCACACATTAAGGTTAAATCTTCTTTGTGAACCTTTTGGTCTTTTTAGGTGTGGATTACCCATGACACGTTCTCTCCAGTAGTGAACATTACGGTAATTGGTAATACCGTCCTTATCAAACTTGGACTCATCAGTCCATAAGATCGTTCTCAGATAATTCCTATCTTCAACATCCGCATTGATTAAAAATCTGCAAAACTGGATTCGTCTCAAAGGATCCCCTTCTTCTATTACCTGAACAGGTGTGTAATGGTAAGGGTGGAGCCCACTTTCATGAAGAAGGTACCACACCTTCCATTGGGAGAGTCCCATAAGCCGAGCTACCATTCGTGTAGATAGAGTAGAGTCCCTGCGAAGTAATTTAAAATTTCCTCTTCGTCTCCCGCGGCATACAGTCGAGGTCTACCTGCGTCACCTGAAAACAAAAAAGATTTGTTTTTATAAGTTTTAGTACAATGACTTTTGTTGATTTTTATGGTGCTAATTACGTAGCCGTTAATATTAGTCAAACTAAAAGCAATTATAGCATCAAAGACTCGCTGTCCGCGTGGTAATAAAATGTGGAAACAGGACGCCCTCTGTTGGGTTGTCTGTCGCACTTACGGGCCTTACGGCAGGTAGTGAGGCACCACTGACGTATCGGTGTTTATCTTATGAAGAAAGCTAGCCTATCGAGCCCTGGCATACCGATAATTTATGGGTTTAACTTTAGTAAGTTGTATGGACAGCGACATTTGTTTTGCAATCCCACAATTAAAAGGGTACGTGCAAGGATAACAAAAAACTGATAGGAAAGGTTTAGTTTTATTTAGTTTGAAACGGATTTGATAAAGAATTTTGTGTAAACAAAATAATAATAATAATGGCTGTTCCTTACCTTGGTATCTTTGGACGGTTCCTCGCTCTCGCACTCGACGGAATGTTCGGGAGAATACGCGTGCATCAGGCAATCGACGATAAGGGAATATTTCGGCATATTCTCGACGAGCTTGTTCTGCGTTTCCTCTGGCAGCTCCGTAATAAAAAATAATATCGGCGTATTCGTCGATACTGAACGATCGTCTTCTTTCTCTAACAGCCATTATTAGTCAGCTAGTCCACACTCAGTCACTCAGCAGCCAAATCGTAAGGAAAAATCAAAGTCGTGAAAATATCAAATCTGAGAGCAAGCGAGCACATCCGAACACAGTAAACCGTAAGAGCGGACTGAAAGGAGGAAGGGATTAGCTCGACTGCCCAACGACCGCGTCCTTTTTTGTTCTCGGATAGGCTCTATGGGTTTTTCCATTGATCATATCTTCATCGTTTCTAAACCGATTTTGGATTTTAATAGCTCATTCGAAAGGCAACGAAACGTAGATGTTTTTTCATTATTTTGTACGTAAAAATTATAGGTGACTTTTTTGAGTAAATCCACGTTTTAGCAGCCGTCACCGTGTTTTTTTTTCATTTTAGTTTTTATTTAGCAATTATCGCAGAAAATTACGACAATTACCAGGATTAAACTATTAGTATTCCTTATTCAGAATATCTCTGTTGTAAAACAAAAAAAAAATTGTCCGAAAAGCCATTTTTTAAGATGTATACCTATTTTAAAATTTTAAGTAGAACTTTTTGGTAAAATTCTTCAAGTACGAATATCTTGGAATGGGTCACTGTGGGATAGTAGGTCTCATAGTAATATCGGCTCTAATTACCCTATACTATCACCCCTTACCGGCTCCGCCACTAATTTCCTGTCACCCTGTATATATGCAAATCCATTACGATACCGCATTACTGCAGTGTATATACAGGCGAAATCACAGCTATCACACTAGCTTTTGCAATAGCCGGGACAAGCCCGAAAGCGAATATTTTGATAGTTACGGACTCGATGAGTGCACTGGCCGGGATAAAACAAATGTATCCCAAAAATCCGATTGCCTGTGAAATCAAGAAGACTCTGCTACACTTCAGAAATGCAGAAAGATCAGTGAAATTCTTGTGGGTGCCCTCTCACACTGGAATCGCAGGAAATGAGGAAGCCGATGAAGCAGCAGCTAGAGCGGTGACCGATTCAAACAGCAGCCACAAGTTTAATCATTCCGATGTTAAGCTCCTAATCAAAGACCACATAATACATAGATGGCAGGAGAAATGGAACTTTAGCACCAGCAACTTCCACGAAATTATGCCTCAGGTTACCACTACTTTGAATCTGCCAAGCCATAGAAAAAATCAAGTAGTAATTTCGCGAATGCGCTTTGGCCATTCGCTTCTGACACACCAGCACCTCTTCAGTAATGAAGAACCACCAATCTGCCCCGCCTGCAACACTTCGTTGACAGTCAAACACATCCTCCTAGAATGTCCCAGGTATGAAACCGCCAGACGAGCTAACCACCTCCAGCAAAGCATACAGGAAAGCATGACTTCAAACGTGGATAGTGTTTTACAGTTTCTAAAAGACACTAACCTCTACTATTGTATATAACAGATGCCTAATGTCTTCAGTATACTAAATGTCTACTTGTATGTATTTGTGATGTCCCACCGCTAATAACCCTGTGCGGTTGATGCGGTTCTTTTTGTGTTAATGAAAAAAAAAAGTGGAAAATTTCCACCCCTTATTTTACCCTTCTAGTTGAATTTCAAAAATGACCAAGTTAGATGGGTTTGTGTTGTTGCAGGTTCAGGTAAATCAACTGAATTTTTTCAAATGTTTCATACGAACTTCTTCCCCTTTTTCACCCTTTAGGGGACGCATTACCAAAAATCCCCTTTTCCCCAAAATTTCAAGTTTCTACAATGAGCGGTTTCGGCTGTGCCTTCTTATGCAATGTGACCCAGTAGACGGGAATGGAAGCTGATTGACAATATATTAGAACCAATCCAGAGTCTACTACCACCTGCATCGGAAAAACTTCTCAATACAAAGTTGACTTGTTTTGTTCACATGTAACAATTGTCAAAGCCAGTCGTGCTCAAATGTTGAATCGCCAATAGAATAAGCTTTTTAGAACCTGTAGCTGTAGAAAAATTTACTTGTATCCAGCAGGAAGAAAGAAGAGGAAAGGAAGATAAAGTTGGAAGATTCATGAGATAATTACATAGGCCACAAAAAGGTGGTGAGTGCTAGGAGTCCACTATACTTTTTCTGAAGTGAGAATTAGGGATCAATGGAAACATTTTAGTCAAGATCTATAAAAACAATGAAAATCATCATTGATTTTTTTTCATATTCATACTGTTCATCGTTACTCTTCAAATGATATGTGTAAAGGGTTTCTGCTTCGTTTTTTTTTGTTCTTTCATTTTTGTTTCTGTTTTTTGTAACATCCAGCAGGCCTTCACGACTATTTAGTATAAAACATAAATGGTAAATGTGCATTGTATGTCAGATATGCACTTCTACCAAAATACCAAAATTTGTAATCTTGGCGTCGAAGTTACTTGTTATTTGTCCATCGACCCACAATTCGTGTTTAGCGTTTAGGCAGCAGCGGTGGCCGCAGTAGTAGACTCTTCGGTCTCCTGGTCAGTCGCCGTGCGCTGTGCGGGTTCAAATCCCGTCCCAAGAAGATTTTTTCTCTTGGCTATGGATGTTGTGGTTGTCCGTAGGTGGTAGACGGTCTCTGACTGTCGTACCCAGAGATACCACCCGGCGGGGCTAGAATGTGTGCATGTTGGATGCACACGTGTTCCTTTGCCAGAGTCCGTGTGGCGTCCTCCCTTTGCACTGTATCCCACTATAGTCCCACGGTACCCCATGGGTGTTTAGGCCTTAGACCTTCGTCGTGGTTGGAGTATAAAAAAAGCGGGAATAATACATGCGAACCCAGGACACCACTTCTTTGTGGAAGTTTGTTATCAGTAAGACGAATAATTATCCCACATGAGTTTTCACCGCTCATCATTCCCAATAGTACTATTTTTTATTTTGTACAATATTATTTAATTGAACAGGACCACAAAATAGATCATAGAATAGGCTTACTGGTTAATCTACGAAATGAAACGCAACTACCTCACGGGTGGCATATTATAGAGAACACAGCAATTCAAACTGAATCGCTGAATATCAAAAGTCGTGGCGCTTAAATGTAACGATAATTTTATAAGTGATATACAATTTTGACCTTACCTATTTTATGATAGAACTTACCGATTGGCTGGAAAATAAAAAAAAACGTATTTGCGAACCTTGACCTTGAATATTTTTTGAACATGTGAGTTGATGGGAACTTTTCACATTATTCAATTTATATGTTTTTTCAATATCCATCCCAATTTTCAGCCCTTTGCGAATTAATGGCCTTGTTAATACCATAGGTAATCAAGCGCTTATATGGTCCATACCACACAGCAGATAGTGTAAACAGGCACAGGACAGTATTTATGCACAGGACTATGTTGCTCTGTGACTATCTAAGCGCTTGGCTACATACGGTGGAAATGTCATGCCCATTTCATGAAATGATAGACCATTTCGTGAAATGTATTATCTATTGGCCAGAGCATGATTAGGGTTGACCAGATCAATGAAAACAAATGGTTTATCTATATAGTATCAACTAAGCGCGCGGCTACTTGATGAAAGGAAAATTCGTTACTAAATGAGGGAGAAATTGAAATTAAAAGACTTTCAAATTTAGTTGGTTGGTTATTTAATGCTCAATTATCTCATGAAATGGGCAATTTTGCGATATAGCTACGAAACTGATTCCACTCACCCATATTTTTCAAAATTATCTCACCCATTGTCAATGTCCATGTGTTACAACAATATAATGAATGAATGAGGGTTCATTTCACAAAAGAAAAAGTTCACCCAAAATAAACTAGAGTCGAGGATAACGGTATATACTGTTGAAGATACTTTTCAGATTTCATGTTTGGTGCAGTATGCTAAACATATTAGAAATAAAGAAAACAGTGTATAGAAAAACCATCGTTTTGATACTCGTATGAACACTATGGAATATGATTATTGCCATTTTTCGAGGTTAGTCAAGTTTTCTGTTTAATGTTGATAAGGATCTGAGATGATGTTTTCAATTAGATCCTTCAAGCAAAATGCAGCTTTCCATAGAAATATGATATAAAGAAACAAGACGTCGGAATAATGTATTCAGTGACTTTTGTGATAGAATGGAGGCTTTTAGAACACCTTTTGCTCCCTCTGCTAATCTGTCTTCAATGGTCAATCAATTTATTATTATGAAATTTGTATTTAAAAGTTTTCAGATTTGACAAAAATTCAATTACTGGGATAGTGGGCTTATTATTGTACCTGGATCATTGACTTTTTGAAATGGATGTGAACGTCATTAACGTCTCATATCAAAAATTATCCCTAGGCTTCATTATGATGTGAACATAATTTATTGAGGATCCCATGTCACTTTTATGATTAAAAATCAAATACTTCGAAAATTGAAGCGTGTACGTGGACTATTTATTCCAAGAGCTTCCATCTCTGTACAAATACATGTTGTATAAGTTCAAGATAGTGACCATCCTGTTACTTTATCAGATTGTATGTTTGGGTCATAATATTTTATGGTCCAACACGTACGAACGGGGCTAATACTTTTTTAACAGGCAACAGCGAACGTTCAGTTTATGTTTTATTAATGATTTGTTGACATAATGGCTGGATATCAGAAAGGTGATACGATACATAAAGGTTAATAGTGTTGACGCCGAAGGAAGCCGAGTATAGAAAATATGAGCACTACACTTTGTCAAAAGGTTGAGAGCCACAAGTTTAATTACGCGGATCCTGACTTTGCTAGTTGATGTATTATGCTAATTTGAACATTAATACAAAGTATCGAAATTTTAGACATTTTTGACGTAACTTCCACAAAATGTATTCTGCGGCTTTGGTTGAAAATACATAGGTAAGTTAGACTTATTTAAGATGGGTCTTACGTAGAATATACATTTAATGGCCACTTTATGTGAATTTTAAGTTTTTATTTGTTCAAGCAATTTGATTCATACATTTTATTTCTTGCAATATAGAGGTTACGAAGGAGAGGGTAACAATGAATAAAAAATTAATTATGAATGTTATGTATTCTCACCACAGCTGACAAAATGTGGTACTCGTATTTGTACATACTAAGCTTTCTTCAGTGAGAACACTTACAACAACGATAACACTGCACTTCATTTTGATTTAGAAAGTAGTGATTTAGAACTGATAGGAACATATACTATAACTAAAGCTAGGAGTCGTTTCAACTCAATATGTACCTAAGCATAGAAGAGTAGAGTTATCGTCCCACTTAGGAAAAAAAGCTTATATTGGTCAAAACAAAATCAGAACAGAAAATATGAAAATTGTTGATAATACTGACACTAATTTATCCCAGTGAATTTAATACTGAAGAAATATTGCTATATGTATATATTAGTGCAAAAATACCACTTAATGTATAGATTGAAGCTTTCTCTATATCGGTCTTCTAATAATTAACATAATAGATACGTCAAAGTATTTGTAAGCGGAATTCGGAATACTGTCAATTATTATTTTGATCACAGTTATTATAAAATACGTCTTTAAAGTAATTAAATTCACCAGAATCAAAAAAAATTATGCTGGTTCTTTCAGAGGAAGTAAAATAGTGAAAATGGCACCTCAACTTACTTCGTCCACTATTTTCGGTTGACTTATGGAATGTTATCTTACAGAATCTAAAAGAAATAATATAATATAAAAATTCGATACTCAAAATGTAATAATATAAGACATCACAATTTTACTTTTGATGTTAGATACAAACTGCCACGTCACAACTATTAAAAATTAAAACAAATAAATCCTCTCTTTTCCCACATTCACATCTCTAAAATATAATTTTCTCGTAATTACTGCTTGTCTTCAAGTGTATAAAATTTCTGGATTTTTTATCAAATCATTTCTAACAGAATTTTGATGAAATTCTCAACAATCTGATATATTCGGTAATATCTGACCACACTTTGTCCAATAAATTTTGTAAGGTCATTTGACTTACACGGGTAAATGGATATTTACTTGGAACAAAAACAGCACTTTTGTTAATTGATATTGATCAAATGTTTGTGGCTTATATTAACGGTCATTTGTTTATTTTTACTGTTTTTCTAACATAGAAAAAGTATGATTTTTCGAGTCAAAGGAGACGATTTCGTTGACACTAGGGATGTAACGAATGTCAATTTTTAGGCACTAATGAAAATAATAAAAAGCAAATAAGTATCCAGTTTGTAAAAAAATATTGCTTTTCCACAACAAATCTAAGAAAAGACAAATATAATTAGAAAAATTGTTTTTGTTTGTTCGAGATTGTTACTCCAGAATTACAGCTGCAATCATTCTACATGCAAACTCATTTCAGTTTGCTCGGTCTATTATACGTCCTTTTTACCAAAACGGAGTTTATCTAACCTGACCTTGGTGAGATTTGTCCTCAATTGCAGCGTTTCGACTTTAGTTTACATGCAAAATCCACCGAATTCAAATTGTGAGATTTTTAACTGCGGCGATCCTGGTCTATGTTCAGTATTGAGTGAAGCTCCATGATTAATCAGAAAAATATCATTTTCTGGGTTATGTTCTGAACAAAGTTAGCTCAGCTGTTCTGTGAGACAGGTATTCACTTACTTGACATCACTGTTTGTACACTCACTAACAAAGCAAAAGAAACTTAAGTTTTCTAGAAATATCTGATTGTTTATACCATCAAGGAAAAGCATATAGTTGGAGAATAAAGGTGTTTGTCGATTATAACACACTTTTCTAGCAAAAAAAAATAATCTGATATTTCTTGATTTATTCAAGTGCATAATATTATTGTGATATTATCTTTTCCTAATACCATATTCGCAAAATAGTCGCATGGATTTTGAGAATGCGGATGCGAATATTAAGAAGCATGCGAATATTCGCGAATGTGACTAGTCGTTACATCACTAGCTGATACTATACCAAATATGGTTCTCACACTTCATTTAGGCGATGTTTTCGTATTTTGCAGATATAATAGAATTTGAATACCATATTATTGAAAACTATCACACGTTATATTATAGGTTTCTTGATAATATTATTAGGCTTATGATTTGAATTGATACGTTTCAATTTAGAAGGCCCTTTTATATTCGATTTGGCATTTGGGCGAGTATTTCCTAATACATTTTTTTTCATATGGGTACCTAGCTTACACAGCATTCCTTCATTCCGTTTTACTGGTTTAACTACAGCAACATCCAAGGATCTGTTGTAATTCAGTATTCTAGTAGTAGTAGTAGTAGTAGTAGAAAGATTTATTTAGCACATTTGGCTACATAAACAGAACAATTGTAAACAACTTAGAACTAGTAAATTCAAGCCATATGGTGTATGATGTAAATGCTGGGCAACCTATAATTGTAGATTTAACAAGTGATTTCTCAATTTTACTTTAAATTTTGTCATTTTTGTCATTCTAGTTCAAATTACCCAAATATAAGTCAAAGGACAGTATGTATAGTAAAAATGTATCATATAACAACTACCAAGTATACGATATAACTTAGCAAATACTTATTAAGATGTTTTTGTGAAACAAAAATTTGTTAAATAATGATAAATGACAGCTCTTAATTGATTATATTCTCAATTTTTTATATGGTGCAGCAGAGGTTGTTTCAGCCAGCATTATTTTTTAGCTCTTATTCAAAATTCAAGCACATAATCAGGCTGCTTCAGTATCATCGAACATCAGAATGCCAACTTTTAGAGGAAATATCATTTGAAATAGACTTAGTAAAATTAACTACTTTAGTTTAACTACATTTTGTCACACACTGCAACTAAACCAGCCAAAAACAGTTAAACAAAAACTAGAAAAACTTTTGTAAAAAAATATCAAACTTCAAAGAACTTGTATGTTTAACAACATAAATTCATAAGAGACATGAGCAGGTGTGAAGTTACAAAATTATTGAAGCAGTTCTTTATTTGACATTTTTTAAGGCCAGCTGTTCACTGTGAGATTGATAAAAATATATTTACATCTTACATAACTGTTGATTGCAACTATAGTACTACATAGTACCACCATATTAATGAAAATTAAACACTAAATATGTCAAACTGATTTATATTTATGTATCCTTCCATATTTTCCAATGTATCATTTACACGTGCCATTATATTCGGTTTTTTTTTTTCATTGGACCTGTTTAGTAAAAAAATCAGGAATCCAGAAATTTTATTTTCAGTTCAGATTTCTTACTTTCATAAATGTGTGTGATTTCAATAAATTGTCTCAACCCTTAATCATAAACTTTCTGCTAGTTTTCGCTATAAGACAACATACAACACACTCTTGGAAAAGACATTTCTAAACAGGTCCATCTGAATCACTCCAACTAAATCTCCCAGCGATCGATCGGCCATTCGCACCATTTTCCACTCAAAAACTATTTAAATCTTACATCGCCATTCCCTTGGGCCAAGGAACTATTTTACTTTGTTGAAGTTTCATCTTCTGTATAAAATTCATAAATAATATAGAATTATTTGGTAAAAGATACAGAAACTGGAATGCTAAGTTTTCATATCAAGGTTAAAAATATATTTAGGAGAAAATCTGAGGTATTAGTTCAAAAAGATCGCGTCACACCCTATTTTTGCCAAATACTCTTCAGGATGGCGACGGAATGAGTTAAAAACTTCGAGTTTTGACCCAATCTTATTTATGAAGAAAATTAATGTAAGATCTCAATGCAAAACCTACTTCAAAATCCAAAATACAAGGTTAGCTACATTAAATGATCTAAAGTTTAAAATGTAGTTCGGTGGAAGAGATGTACCGTACCATTTTATGATGGAAAATTACCAGGGCATTTAGCAATAATAATTTTGTTCTCCAAACACAATTATTGTGGGACAATAGAAATAATCATTGAAAATGGAACTAGTTGTTCTATTTGGCAAGTGGCTTTAATTTCAAAGCCAAAAAAGCAGCAAATGGTATAATAACAGTGTTTCTCAACGTTGGAGGGCTGAGGCAAATCGTTCTTTTTGGAGATTCGTTCAAGATTCCGATTCCAGCCTCGGAATCGATTCTTTTGATTAGGTAACGATTCTGATTCCGGTCCTGGAATCGATTCCTCTCGGTTACACTGCCATTTGTATCGAATCCAACGCGACGTTTAAAGCATATTTGTGTTGTGTTACAAAGTACATAAACAGGTTATTGGGACATTTCACGTGAGCGGACAATGAACAAAAGTGAGGTTTATTTGTTATGGTACGCGCTTCCAAAGAATAGCCGTAATTGAAATTGGAATGTTTTTGGAGTACTTTTCAAATTGAAGACTATTATAGTAGGATATTAAACATAGCGCGTTATATAGGAGATTTTTTGTATTTTCTGATAAAAAGTAAGATTTGAAAAATGAGGTACCCAAATTTAACTAGAATATTTTTATTTTTGATTTTTTTACTCTGAAATATAGCCTAAAATACGTTTAAGAACTTTAAAAATGGGATGCACATTAATTAAGTATATAGGTATTTTTATGAACATACCTGCCAACTGGGTATGACGTTATGCGCTTGCTTAGGTTCCAAAAGAGTATTTTAAGCTATAATACTGACATTTTTATACAGAAATTCAATCATTCTACTTTGTAAATATTTTTTAATGAAAAATACGGATAGGAGAGCGTGCTAAATTTTAGCGCCATTCAACTGCAAAAACATTAGTGCTAATTAAGAATTTTCTAAAAATATTAATGTCAAAAGTTCAAAGTTTGTATTAGAAGACATTAATGAAAAATAATTATTATTAGCTCCATAAATTCGATTCACTGTAGTTCGCTTTAAAAAAGTATTTAAAAAATGTTATAACACTATAAAGTTCTGTCCAAATATATTTAAATCATTATAGAGTTTAAAAATACTCATATCGTCGGAATTAAATGCTATGATCAATATTTGCATATTCCCCATTCCAAAAAATACTCCGCAAAAATCTCAGTTTCAAATACTGCTATTTCTTGAAAGCCCATAACCTAACAAATACACACCACAGGTAAAAAATTACTTATTTAAAAAATTAACTAAACTTTTAATAGTTGACAAGTCACTCTTTTTTTTTCGCCGTCTGCTTAACGTGAAATGTTGTGTGTCAGGTAATTTGTATATTATAACATTTTAGAAGTCCCGAGTAACATCTTGTATCGTTTCTTTTAAACGACTGACCCGGTTGGAATCGAAACATCCTGAATCGGAATCGCAATCATCGCAATCAGAATTGAAACCACCGGAATAGGTTCCTTCGGCACCATCGGAAGCGATTGCTGCGATTACTACTGCGGTATCGTTCCATTGGAACTATTGGTTCAAGACCGACCCAGCTCAACAACATTTGTGATGAATATTTTATGAGAGAATTCAGCTAGCAAGCTGAAATTCGGAATAATGGAATTGATGGCGGCTCGACGCCATTTTGGAAAATATTTTTGAATGGAATGGGAGGTCGTTTTGAAGCTGCTTATGAGTACTTAATCTTAGAATATGAAATCCCCATCTTCGAAAATGGCGAACTGATAGGCTGTCAAAGTTGAGCGCTTTTGTACATTGAGTAGCTCAATAACTAATCATCTAATATGCTATATCAATCTTTTTTTGGAAGGGTCTATTCAAATATGTAATCAAATAAGAAACATTCCATTTAAAAAAATTGTAAATCAACCAATGTTTGTTTAAACTCAATGTCTAATACTTTATTCCACATTCAGATAGACCCTACCAACACTAGATTGATATAACTTGTTGACGATGAATTACAAGACCCCTTACTGCATTGAAAAGAAAAAATGAAATGGCGCACTAACCGCCATCTTGAAATTTTCAACTGTTATGTTTAAAGTCAATTTCATCATCCAGAATTTCAGCTTGCTAACTTCTCCAGTCCAAGAAAATAAGTAAAGGGGTAGGCTTTACCCAAACGCACTGAATATTTGGAATGGATTTGGTACATACATAATGATTGGAAAAGGAGAATAAATAACCCACATCACAAATTTAAGTATGCTATAATTTAAAAAATCTTTCTGACAAATTTGATGAAATATATAATGTTTTCATTATTTCGACACAGGTTTTCATTTGAAGTTTAATTTTGAATAGTGATTTACTAACCATGTATAAAACAACACACAAGACAAACAAATCAAAAATACAGGATGAGCCAGATTCCAGAGCAATTGCATGAGAAATCATGTGGTAGGTTTATTTTGCAAATGGATATATCGTTCTATGTAAGTGATGTAGGTACTTTTTCTGTTAAATATGGAATGACTCATAATGTATTCAATCTAAATTCATATTTACCCTCAAAATGGACATGACTTGCCAACTTGCTACCTGTACATATAACAATTATTGATTCCACGTCACATGTCCCTGTTAGTAAAATGTAATAGAACAAACAACATTTACAACGAGTTTCAGATTTATTATAATAAAGTTTGGTGTACCTATACTGGCCTAAGAATTTTATTCATTGATTATTACATATGGAATGAGTCCTTCCCAAATATCATCATCATCATCATCGTATCTGATCGTATCCGTGTTTCCCTGGAAACCAGCCATCAAAAGTATATAGTCCAGGAAAATAATGCTTCAATCTCGACACGGAAGGCAATATACTAAGAATTTGCATGTTTTGGAAACTTCGTTCAAAAGGCTTATATAATCACGCGATTAGGGACGTCATACTGAAATTCTGATTATGCCACCTTTGAGAGAAAGGGTGGCCACGTTATTCCTCGAATTATTTTCAATTATTGTCAGGACAAAAATAAAACGATTTTGGAAAATACTCTGAATTGCAAGACATTCTAAGTGTCAACTTTTTATTTAAATAAGCAGATTTACCACTGTTTAACCCACTGTGTATCTCTTACAGTTTCCAATAGTGAGGGTCGAATTTGGAACACCCGGTATAATATTTTCAGGGATGTAGGCGACCCAAAGCATGAATTAAAGCGATAAAAGTGAGATTTTCAAAAAAAAGAAGTGAGATAATAGGTATTTTATACATTAAAAAGTGAGTTTATTTTCCGAGAAAGTGAAATCACAATGCCCACTTAAAACCAGCAATATAAATTAACAAATATGAAAAAAAAAAACGAGAATAATTGTTATACGGTCTTTGTTACTGTTGCATTGACGTAAGCAAAAATAATTATTTATATGTATGCATATTTTACAATCAAAGAAACAAAAAACATAACAGATTCTTCTAAATACGGGAAAGTACTTATCTATTAATTATTCTTGCCTAATTGATTGAAATTTGATATAGTTATTATAGATGAGTGTTTTTTACACAATAGATGATAAACTCATCAGACCATAAGACTAGAGCACTTGTCATTAGGAACCAAACGAAGCCTTCGATGGGTTCGGATAGTCACTCCCTGGCTCCATCATCAGATCATCTCCATGTCATAATAATATTGCATTGTCATTATAATAATAAGCGTCCGCCATATTGGATTAGACTGACGTTGCTTATTTTTTTTCTTTCATTAATCCCTTTCATTTGTTATCCATAATATGGGGGTGACTATGGAAATTATAAATCGATATTTTGCAGCGGCCGCCATATTAGATCTAGAATGACGTCACGTTACTTACTGACTCTCTCTCTCATCAGGCCCTTTCAGTCGATAAACATGTCATAGGCGTAACTATAGACACTATGAATGCTATCTTGCGACGGTCGACATATTTCATTTGAAATGACGACACTTTGCTTAGTGTGCCTCTCAAGTCCTGCCATCAGATGCCCATATTATAGGGGTGACTATGGAAATTATAAATCTCCAAATTGCGGCCTCCGTCATATTGGATTTAGAATGACGTCAGTTTGCTTAATGTGTTTCTCTCATCAAACTCTTTCATTTGATACCCATATCATATCGATAAATTGCTATTATGTAGCATACACCATATTAGATTCAAAATTGCGACAGTTAATTCATTATATATCATCACACGAACCAGACAGACATACAAAATTTCCGGTCAATTGGAAATCATAAATTGCCATTATGTAGCATACGCCATATTAGATTCAAAATGGCGGCAGTTAATTCATTTTGTATTGTCACATGAACCAGACCGGAACACAATATTTCAGCTCAATTGGTTGGCTAAAATAAAAAAGTTCAAAATTGAGTTCCAAGATTTGTCTCACATATGCATACTAACGAACTAGCATACTCATAGTTACTTGTACAAGTCTTATAAAAAGTGCCAGTATGTATGCAATTTATATTGATACCCTAGCTCAAATTAAGCCAGGAGAAAATGAAAACGGTTCAGCGTGAAAATTCGTATTTTCTGTCTCTTCAAAAATAATCTAAATTGCCAAACTATCTAAGTAACATTTTATTAGTTACCTAAATGAGCAACTTTGCCTTCATTAACGACTTTGTATTGTATTGCTTACCGTTCCCGAATTTGAAATCCTCATTGCATATACATGGTGTTTCACAACTTATCCGACACATTTTAACCACATATGCACTGTTACGAAATTAGTTGATTTTGCACAAAAAAATTAATAAAAGTCCTACAGAAATAAAGATAATAAAATAAGACAATGTAACAGTTCACTTACTTATAAAAGCTGTTCAAAATTGTTTCCATTGACTGTAATGCAAGCTCGGACGCGTCTGATCTATTTACGTGCATGTAAAACAATTGAACTAAATGTTTCGTGATGTGGTATGTGCCTATTCGGAAATCGGTATGCATACAAACGAGCAGCCGGTCGCGAATTTTGCCGTGTTTCTCCATACGCTAAAACAATGTCCACTAACTCCTCATTACTGTACATATTTCCCATTTTTATTAATAAATAACTAAAAACATTAACTCGCAAAATACTTTCATATTTAACTTGACAAAAATCGTCCGTTCTTCATTCAGATCACCCACTTTCTTAACAGTACATATGTGGTTAAAATTTGTCGGATAAGTTGTGAAACACCCTGTATATGTAATATATATATATATATATATATAACAAAAAATAGGAAAGTAATGGGCAAAAATTCGCAAAAAGAAGGAAAGTGGATTCGAGCAGAAAATAGGATAGGTTGGCTTTTTCAGGCCCGAAATGAATGCACATATGCAACTACAACAGTAGATACACATGCTCATACGTCCGTATACGGATGTAACCTGAGGAAACAAAGATGGAGAGGGAAAAAATCACACACGAAGCCCACAACAAGAGCCAACCTACACACATTATAGTATAAAATGACTAGAAGACAAGATATATATATATATATATATATATATACCTTGTGGCTGCAACCTCACCGACGAAATCCTGATGATGGCTCCATAGAGAATGCCGAAAGCTTGATTTTATCGTCAAAAGAGTCAACTTTAGCCTAAAAGTTTTGCCAATTTCCCAATTAACAAGTAATTATATTTATATATATATATGTATATATATCCTTATATTTCTTTGGGTTGAAGTTTTGCATAAATACACTCTTATAACTTGAACTCACATGTCAACACCACAGGGCATCAAATGGGATACAATGATATCAAGGTCCTAGACAGAGAAAACCATCTATCAAAACGTTTGTTCCTGGAAATGTCACATATCTTCATGACAGACTGTTGCATGAACAAAAAAGCAGATGTCAAGCAACTTAGCGACATTTATGCATACTTGTTGAACTGCGAAAAATTGGAGAAGCACCATATCTCTCCCAACATCGATCTTTCTCAATAACCGCTCTAATTACATACATTTTCACTATCTATAATCAAAATTTAAATAAGTTTGCTGCTTATCATCTTTCCTCAAGTTTTGAAAGTTCCTTCGTATTATCGCCTTCGGTGGTAGCATCCATATCACACTTCTTCCACAATAACATATATTAATTTTGAAAATAACTCGTAACTTCATCGGATAACAAAACACACCCGCTCGTATTAGTTTACCGAACTTCCTACATAGGTAGGCAACACACAAGAACGAAACGTTCGATAGCGGGTCAATAATTTCAATGTCACACTTCACATGCCACTGGAGAGTGTCAGTCTGCCGGCACGTGTTAGATAATGTGGAGGTTATTAGGAAAGATGAAATCTCGAAGCATTTTTCAATAGTTGATAAATTTTCAAGTTCTTCCAAATCAGTCAGTGTTTTAAAAAACATGGCTATGGTGTTGCCATTTATTAATAAATTTAAAAAAAATTCCGTCCTAATCGAACCTCATCGGGCCAGTTTTTTGTTCGTCGACGATGTGTTCTCTTTCACTGTCGTTTAAGAACAGTTTCAGCAAAAATCTCGCCGACTTAGTAATTATTTTCCTCCTAATTGTTTATTGTTGCTATTTTTTTCAAAAATTCTTTTTAAGCCCCAGACGATGATGGCATAGACCATCGAAAGCTCACTTTCAAGTTATAAGAGTATACTTATGCAAAACTTTGCCTTTAATCCAAAGAACTTTAAGTATATTTTCTCCTAACAGTTAAGACAATTAACTATGAATACTATACAGGGTGACTTCGAAGTTGAGTCATTTATTTTAACAGTGAGTAGATCTGATCAAAAGAAATGTTTTTTCATTTAACATTTTTGTGGTAAAATTAAAGTAACAAAGTTATAGCCCTTTAGAAGTTTGAGTACCGCCCTGTCTCAATAATAATATTATGTGCTCGTGTTTGGCGACAACGGATATAATCCGCCTTATCGGTTCATCCCATCGGAAACAAAAAAGCAAAAGAATTTGAAACGCTGATCACGATGTTTTTATTCAGTCGATGTGTCAGTCGGTAACGCGTGAGTGAATAGTGGTGTTTGCTGCGTGGCTCAAACGAAATAAAAAATGGCACATGTTTATGCGGATCGGTTTCCCAATCGAGTGCAACCAACCCCTTGTGCCTTTGTTAATGTAGTACAACGGGCTCGTGAATCAGGTGACTTAAGACCTCACAGGAGAGGGCATGCCGGTGCTCCAAGACCTCACGATCAAATACAGGTCCGCACTGAAATACTTGTTGGGAGGATACTTTATAAAACAAGGTAAATTTTTTTTTTATTTTCACACATATATTTTGGTTTATCTTCCTTCTACAATCATTATCTGAAAATTAATGACTCAACTTCAAAGTCACCCTATATATATATATATATATATATATGTATATAGAGAATATGATCATGCGGAGAAAGGTATATAACAACAAGTAGGAAAATAATGGGCAAAATCCGCAAAAAGGAGGAAAGTGGATTCGAGCAGAAAATAGGATAGGTAACCCGAGCGATACGTATTTCTGCTGGTTGGCTTCATCAGGCCCGAAATGAATGCACATATGAAACTACAAAAGTAGATACACATGCCCACACATCCGGATACGGGTGTAACCTGAGGAAACGTAGTTGGAGGGGAAAAAAACGACACACGAAGTCCACAACAAGAGCCAACCTACACATTGTAGTATAAAAAGGATATACGGGTTACCTATCCTATTTTCTGCTCGAATCCACTTTCCTCCTTTTTGCGGATTTTGCCCATTATTTTCGTACTTGATGGTATATACCTTTCTCCGCATGATCATATTCTCTTTGTAGATCCTTTGGGCTTGAAATACCACAGCAAGTGGCTATAACCGGCCGCGTGGTGGTGGTTAGACGTCTCCTTGAACATTCGAGGTCGTGTAGGCTTTTTATACTACAATTGTAGGTTGGCTCTTGTTGTGCACTTCGCGTGTGATTTTGCCCCTCTACCTCTTCGTTTCCTCAGGTTACACCCATATCCGGATGTGTGGGTATGTCTATCTAGTTTTGTAGTTTCATATGTGCATTCATTTCGGGCCCGATGAAGCCAACCAGCAGAAATACGTATCGCTCGGGTTACCTATCCTATTTTTTGCTCGAATCCACTTTCCTCCTTTTTGCGGATTTTGCCCATTATTTTCCTACTTGTTGTTATATACCTTTCTCCGCATGATCATATTCTCTTTGTAGATCCTTTCGGCTTGAAGTACCACAGCAAGTGGCTATAACCGGCCGCGTGGTGGTGGTTAGACGTCTCCTTGAAAATTCGAGGTCGTATAGCCTTTTTATACTACAATGTGTAGGTTTGCTCTTGTTGTGGACTTCGTGTGTCGTTTTTTTTCCCCTCCAACTTCGTTTCCTCAGGTTATACCCGTATCCAGATGTGTGGGCATGTGTATCTACTTTTGCAGTTTCATATGTGCATTCATTTCGGGCCTGATAAAGCCAACCAGCAGAAATACGTATCGCTCGGGTTACCTATCCTATTTTCTGCTCGAATTCACTTTCCTCCTTTTTGCGGATTTTACCCATTATTTTCCTACTTGTTTATATATATATATATATATATATATATATATATATATAGAACGCAGAGTTCAACTAACCCTAGTAATTTCACATGTAATGCATATTGGCTCGGCTTGGGGAGAATCCTGTACATGAAAAAGCGAGATGGACCGGAAACAGTGAAAAAAGTGAGTCGCCAGCATCCCTGTATTTTATACAATGAGCCATTCTTCAGATATAAAACGAGCAAGGGGAAACTTTTAGTCGAATATGTGTAATCATGATCTCAAGTTATTTATACTTAATCGATTAGATCTATATGGCATTTAGCGCGGATAAAAAGGTATGTTAGGAAAAAACTTACTTCTGTCACGTTTCACCTTGAATAGGACTCTGGCACGAGATTATATAGGACTTTTAAGCAACCGTCAAACCAAAACTCTTCGCAAACTTTCATGCCATTACACAGTTTTGGCATTCACAACTACTGCGTAAGTAAACGTTAAGATTCACCTCATGAAATCTTCAATATAAAATGTCAAAAAATGCGAACTTAGCATTTAGGTATGTGGTGTTTGCGATTGCCAAAACTTTCTGTTATCTTTCATTCTGCGGTTTGCAGCTTTCATGTTTAAATTTTCCTGGGTGAATAAGAAACAAGAAAATAAAAAGGAAAATAAATAAACTGTACTGACACGTTTACTTAACGATGGTAGTAGTGGTACTCACTAGTTGATGGTGCGGCTGCGGTGGCACCTGCGGCTGTGGCACCGGAGGCGGGGGAGGCGCCACCGCTGCCGCCGCCGCAGCAGCTACGGAGGCAGCGGAGGTAGGAGGCGGCGGTTGGCCGGAGGGCGGTTGTTGCTGTGGAGGGGCGGCCTCGTGAGGCGTGGTCGAGTGGGCGGCTTGTTGCGCGCCGCCCCCGCCACCGCTGCCTCCGCCACCGCCGCCGCCGGTACCACCCGCGTTCGACGCGGCGGCCGCCGCTGCAGCCGCCGCGGCCGCAGCCTGGTAGTAGCCCCCGTTCACGCCCGCCGGGGATACTGAAACGATAGAAAAGGAATCTTAGTGATTCAAATAATAGAAAAACACTGCAAAACAAAAAAATGTGGCAAATAGGTTGACTCGTGATTTCCCATCAATTAGATGATTCATACAATTTATTTCCAAACCTAACGCCATATGATATGATGATACAAGCAATTGTATGTGAAATACAGAGTCGACCTACTTGTCACAGAGTTTGTTCAAAAGACTGCTACCACACCTTGGGTAACAATCAGCTATGAAACTCGAATGTAGATTCCCCCAGTACAACGATTAAAGAGCTTTTAGTGCTCAGCAGCAGTCGGAGCTGCCACGAACCCTGTCAGCGGCCGCGGATATTATTTGCAATCGAAAAAATTATACTATTCCGATATAATTTGGTGTATAGTTTGTGTGAACCAATAATAAAAAGGAATATATTTGTACAAAAAGAAGCGACGAAGTATTTATGACTATTTATTTGTGAAATAGTTTTAAAATAAATTCGTATTGGTGGAAGTATTTACAATAAACTGAAAACTGTTTACTTTATCAATGCATTCTTTGTTGCTGTGATATTCTCAATCAATTTTCAATGTAAACAATGTTAAAACACCAAAATCAAACTTGACACTTCTGACGACTCCTCAGCTAGGATCTTGCTACATACACACGGCGAGTTTTTAACAAGTACGCGTTCGGTAGTTTCGATATTTTAAATACCTACAAAAATTAATTATAAAAATTGTCGGAAAAAATACAGTCCTTACTTGGAAAGTATGCCGCTCTCCACAAGGTGATTTATAATTACAAAATATAAGCGAGATGGAGCAAAATGGTTTAGCTTCACTGGTAAACAATGTTTCTTAAATCTCTCATTTAAAGGTTCATGTGCTCTAGTTTTTTTCCGCGATAGAGTCACCGAAATTCTTGTGAATCAGTGAAAGTTGTATTTATATGGTGTTTTTATCAATGTTCACAATGTATTGGTTATATCGCAACAGCGTAGAATACATAGCTAAAGTAAATATTTTTACGTTTACTGTAAAAACTTCCACCATTACAAATTCACTTTGGAGGTTTTTCATAAATAAATAAACATTCTTCTCTTCTTTTTGGACCAACATACTGCTTTTTATTATTGATTCACACAAACTACACTAAATCATATCGAAATATTATCATTTTACGATTGAAAAGATTATGTGCGGCCGCTGGCATGATACGTGGTAACACCGGCTGATGCTGAACATTAAAACCCCTTTCATCATTGTACCAGCGGAATTCACATGCGATTTTCACCGCTGAAGTGGCGGCCGTTTTTGACACTGACACGAGAGCTTCATAGAAAATTGTTATCTAAGCTGGGGTAGTAGTATGTCACACATCATCAACATAGACCCTAAATTTGAAAGATTCTCTACTCGATCGTACAGTATTCGTAACTGTGCCCACAGTTACTGAAAAAGTTAGATCATGATCTGTCGCTGACTTTCAGTTTGCTAACTAGAGGTGTTACAATCGAAATGAAGCTGAACCCAATGCTTCGGCTCGGTATGGGCTACCTACTCCATGCACCTATTCTCAATTACAAGTGATACTTATTCCATATTCTACCTATTCCGCATCGGCAAGGAACGCTAAAAGTGTGAAAAAGATCTATTACCCAAAAATCGATTTCACTTTTAAATACAAATTGATTTATGTAAAAACAATTTTAGAGAAATAAATAATCGAAACTTGCTCCCTTTCCTAAACATTGCTCATAGACAGACAAATATTCAAAACCAAGCGTTTTCTTAGTACTAGTTCCATTACCAATAAATCTATTATTTGAAAATTTGTATTAATTTCTACAGAGTGATGAAAACATTTTTTTTTTACAAAATTTACTTGGAATTTTTTATCCGTCGCCGCGCAGATGACACTGTTAACAAAATCAATATTATGTAATTTATATAATCGATTTAATAAAAACTGATTAGTACTATTGAGAAAATCATTTCTAAACGACGATTTTAACAAAATGAAAATCGATTATTTTCTGACATTCCTACAGAACGATCGAACTAGCTGCTGTTTCGAGGTGTTTTGAGAAGAGTGTGAAGATAGTTACTGGTTACAGCATTGCTAACAGCGGGACAACTACTGTCTATGTCAGCAAATATGCCTGAACGTAGAAGCCTCATGTAGTATGCAGAACGTCCAATAACTATTTTCTTATAGATCTATTATTTTTAACATAGTTTACGAAATCGGTATTTGTTCCAGTGGAATCGATACATAGGATGTTTCCTTTATATAATCGTTTTTTTTAATTTTTCACTTGTTTTATACATCATACTTTTCTATAAATTACATATACATAACTGTTCGCTTATATCCACTTATATTAAAAAAAAAAGACATTTGCACCACGCTTGGGCGTTTATTCATTTTAACAGCAAAGGTAAAACTTTTAAAACAAAACTAAAAGGGATAGACTGTTTACAGTATTGGCTGCTGAGATCAATCGTTGTAGCAACCTATTTTGTAGTAATAGATTACTAATATATTTTTATCGTACTTCAGCACGTGACAACAAGTAACAGCTGGAGGGCAAAATAGAAAATATCTCATAGTCGACAGTGATTCACAATTCTGACGGATCTGTGAAAGCCAAATGTTCACGTGCAAAACATGTATTTTTCTTTCAAAAAATAAAGTCACATGATTCAAATAAGAACTTGTATGGTCACATAACTATACTAAGCGCAGGGGTATCTAGAAAACTATTGTATGTTATGGCAAAAAAAATTGCCAATGAGTATAGAAAATGGTTCTGATTTATTAGCTACCAATAACCAAATATGCCCAAAAATTGCAGATCTGTTTAGCACGGCAGTATAAAGCTGTTTCCTCGATAAATTTTTCATTTTTGGATCGCTGCATGCGCATAAAAAGTAGCCCAGTGATAGATGAAATGGAAAAATTCAACTGCACAAAAAATGCAATTATCATCTTATAATTCAAAATTTTTGGGTTTAAATAAAAACCACCTAAATTTGATGCAACCCAAACAGTCAATCAGGAATCATAGCAAACAAGACATCCAACATTTTTTCACTTATTTTAAAGTAACGAATTAGTTCCGAATGAATACCAAAAATCTGGAATAACGAATATCAATAAAATAAACCAGAACTTGTATTGCTGGAACGAATGTTTTGCCATGCGCATTCTCGTTCATACTACCTAAAACTGTAATGACTCATATGCGTGATCGGAGGATGACTGCCGCCGGGCGACGGAACGGCTGTCGAGAGGCGTCAGCCTACAACAGGGTGGTATTCTAAACTCTGAGTGTCCGATTTACACATTCTAAATAATACATATTTAATTCGGGTAACGATCTGTCCTACAATCATCTTGATAAACTTTTAGATATTAGAATACAAGTATGTTAATAAAAAAAATTGGGAAAATATGAGCCTACTGTTTTGATTCATTTCTTTATTACAATTTTAATTTCTGTATTATGCTCACAAGATCTCATTCATTTGTTATAATAATCTTGAGTAAAACGGTTTATGAACTTTTAGACCTGTTTTAAGGAGAAATCTTCCATATAGCGATCTGCTCGAATAAATAAAATATTTAAAAATCACGATCGTGCTACTTTAACTGCGAACGCTGCCCAAACGGTAAATCATACATAAATGCTACAACTACCAAAAGTAGGGGTCTTCAAAAAAACAAAAAAATCCGCTGAAGCATATGGCGATCTCTTATAAACAAACCACAATAACGATTTTCAATCGTCCTCGGGTTGCCTTATTTATTAGATCCTTGCCTGTTGCGGAACGGATGTCAAATGGCTTGGTTTGCTCAAGCGGTTGAGCTTTGGGCTCTCATTCTACCCCGCTCGGGTGATTTTCAATTTTTTTCCTTCAAGTAAGTTTGTCCGATCGCCATGAGACACAAACCCCCGTGAAAATTCGCCAAGTTATACTTATTATCCCGACAAAATTATAGTCGGCTTTATTTGCTAACTCAATGTGGATTTTGCACTACCAATCAGTTGTTGAACAATGAACGAAAAGCCGTTGCCACGCGGCATCTTGTTTGCCTGTAACACTATTGACTATCATGCGGGCGAAGCCGTGAGCTTATTCTAGTAAAAAGTTTGCATTTTTGCAATCCTTGGACTAATAATAAAACTTGTACTTGTACTTGTAATAAAACATTAAAACCAGACAAAATCAACACACATGCTAAAAGTAAGGAACGCGCATGAATATTACGATAATTAAATTGAAAGAAGGAATGAAAACTGATTCGGGTCCTGAGATAAAATGACGCCTCTCCGCTTTCACGCTACAAGGCCTGATACATTGGGGTAGACTAGCAGTGTTCGGAACTTGTTTCGTTGAGAGTCTAGTTACCGCCTGATATTGTTTATTGTTAGAAGAATTGTTATTTGGTTAAATCTGTTGTTATTGTTCGGGTTATACTTATACTTCCTTAACCATGAAGGGTAAAACTGGGAGCGGGAACAAGTAGAAAGCTTAGTAAAGCATCGAAAAAGGACACGAAAGAAATTGTGCTCAACGTGTTCAATTATTCGAACAAGACTATGTTGCAGGGAGATGCACTTACGCGTTGCGAAAGCATGACAGACGTCCCAGAGTGGACTGTTCGCAGGGTGGTGCATGGACAGAAGAAAACTGAAGCTACTGCTGATCCAAAGTTCCATTTAAAGCGACGAAAGGCCATTAAACTAAATGGCAACAGCAAAATGGCGTTAAGACGAACCGTACATTCATTCTTTATGAGGAATGAGATACCAACCCTTCAGGCTATACATGCAAAGATGCAGAGTAATGACATTATATCCCCAGTGAGCGTCGAAGTATTAAGGAAAACCCTGCACGAATTTAATTTTCGTTACGAAACACGTAATCGGAAGTCACAATTGATAGGGAAATCTGAAATAGTCGCGTGGCGTCGAAAATTCCTACGCGCAATAACTGAATAC